GTTATTTTTGTAGTCCATTAAGCAAATGGAACACACCACCCACTTTGCATCAACTACTGTTTGAGCATCATTTCGCTGCAACTCTGACCTACCCTACTACAAATTCTTAGATCTAGGATTTGGTCTGAAAAAGTCGGTTTCAAACAGCGAGACAATTTTCGGGTGTTTATGGGCCAGTGATGCTGGATTGTTTACAGAAAGAAGCGAAGTAACTATAATGCATTATCTCATAACTATGCACGTGTGGTGATACGCAAAATAGAGATAAAGTTTGCTTGAGTAAGCAAGATAAGCCCTAAATTGTGAAGCTGACATGATGGAAACCACAAACAAGAACGGTCGAATTGGTGGAGGGATAACACAGCTCACGTAGACGGCTGAAGTGCGACGATGGTCGTCTGGAAATGCGATAGAATAGTGAAGAACTATCACGTCGATGTGATCACCAACTACATCATTCGTAATTTGTCTAATTACGGTGATCGTGTGGCACTTGTGAGTCGAAAAACATCTCGAAAACAATGCAACTTTGTGATGATTTCAGCACGAGTGGGAAACGGGTCGCAAGCTGACCTTTGTGCAGCTGCATGACTTTATCTACAGTATGGCTGCAAACCTGAGACGTCATGGCCTGGCAAAGGGAGACGTATTGTTGGTGCAATTGCCGAACTGCATCGAGTATGTCATCGCTTACTATGCAACAGTTCTTGCGGGAGGGATGTTCGCATCCATACCCGCTCAGTCAACAGCAGGTAAAATTTGTACTCGTGTATGAATGACAGTTTTAAGCCCTTCATCTCAACAGCCGTCAGCATGCTAGGCTTATGGAATCTCCAGACGTAGGTTATTGGTAGTCAGAGATAGCTCAACGGTCTGGTATCGTCGAAACTGCTCAGCGATCTTATGCACAGTGACCATTTTTCCTGGGCATTAGTACTCCATCCGGAAGCATGCTTGCTTCGGGCGCAGTCCCTCATCAACTGTCTGTCTCAGCCTTTCTAGAATATTTAGGGGAACAGTTTGACGAGAGTTGACAGTCGCGTGATAACATGATAGTTGCAATAATCCGAAAACCAACGCCGTTAAATATCTGGAGAATAACTCCACACTTCTGTTCTCGAGAGAAACGTTTGGATGTCCATAT